TTCTAATTAACTTATAATTAGAATTAATAACACTGAAATACATAAATAGAGATGAATATTAATTAAATGAATGTGAATGTTAACTAATTGAGAACTAAAAATAGGGAATTCATACATTAATAAAAGCTAGGTGAAATAGATCTATCAAATGTACATGTACATTGATAATAATTAAATGGTTAAATAAATTAAATATATATTAAAAACGAAAAGTAAGGTATTATTGAAATAATTAAATTATAGTATGACTAAAATCATCCAAAAAATAATTCTCACTTAATGTGATATTTAATTTCAATTAAGTAAAATTGAATATTAATTAACATACATGGACGTCAATAATGAAATATATTCTTGAATGTGAAATTCTAATTAATTATAATTAGATTAATAACACTAAAATGCATAAATGAATATGAATATTAATTAAATGCGTGTGAATGTTAATTAATTGAGAATTAGTAATACGGAATTCATACATTAATAAAAGCATACATGTGAAATGAGTATGTCAAATATACATGTATATTAATGGCACATAAATTGTTAAATAAATTAAATACATATTGAAAAACAAAAAGTAAGGTTGTTATTGAAATAATTGAATTATAGTGTGGATATAATCGTTCAAAAGATAATTCTCATTTTATATAACTCGAATTATTGTTAATTTAGAGAATGAAAACCCATTGTGGTAATTGATAGAAAAATCATTCTCGTGGTAACGAAATATACCTCAATCACATTTTCACATATTTAGAGCCTGTCTGGTTCCACTGCTCTTTGGATTAAAATCAACAATAGTGCCGTTGGAGGGTCCCACTCGTGAGAGTGGCAGTCAACAATGGTAGGCTATAACATTTTAAAAATTGATTTTGCTTCTCATTTCAGCTCGCCCAGATAGGGCCTTAATAAAAAACTACTTTGTTTATTTCAAAATTTAAATATTTTCTAATTTTTGAATTTATTGTTTTCCTTAATTCAACGAACAATACGTTTAAGCTAAGTAAGGAAAATTAAATGGTACATCATTTGGAACGTATCATCTCACTTGATGTGATATTTAATTTCAATTAATTAAAATTGGATGTTAATTAGCATACATGGACGTGAATAATGAAATACATTCTTTAATGTGAAATTCTAATTAACTTATAATTAGAATTAATAACACTGAAATGCATAAATAGAGATGAATATTAATTAAATGAATGTGAATGTTAACTAATTGAGAACTAATAATAGGGAATTCATACATTAATAAAAGCTAGGTGAAATAGATCTATCAAATGTACATGTACATTGATAATAATTAAATGGTTAAATAAATTAAATATATATTAAAAACGAAAAGTAATGTATTATTGAAATAATTAAATTATAGTATGACTAAAATCATCCAAAAAATAATTCTCACTTAATGTGATATTTAATTTCAATTAAGTAAAATTGAATGTTAATTAACATACATGGACGTCAATAATGAAATATATTCTTGAATGTGAAATTCTAATTAATTATAATTAGATTAATAACACTAAAAATGCATAAATGAATATGAATACTAATTAAATGCGTGTGAATGTTAATTAATTGAGAATTAGTAATACGGAATTCATACATTAATAAAAGCATACAGTTGAAATGAGTATGTCAAATATACATGTATATTAATGGCATATAAATTGTTAAATAAATTAAATACATATTGAAAAACAAAAAGTAAGGTTGTTATTGAAATAATTGAATTATAGTGTGGATATAATCGTCCAAAAGATAATTCTCATTTTATATAATATTTAATATATTATAAATATAATACTGAACAAATCAACAACAATAAATATTTTTCTAATATATCATTGTGATAATCCTTTATTATTTATAAGAAAATAGTGATAGGGTCAAGTTTTTACTTTAAAAGGAAAAAAGAAAAATTGACAAGTCAAGTTTGGCTGTGTAAAAAGTTTACATATAAATAAACTTACTTACAAGTACAATCCAAATTGTAAGTATGCTATTTAATTTGAGTAAGATAAAAGTTATTCTCGATTAAAATTTAGATTTTAATTTAAGTCTAAGTCAACAATTAATTTTAATCACATGTATCATGAGTTTCACAACTTTTCAATTATTTTTTATCAAAATCCACTAAAAATCTGAGTTTAATCCCCACTGAACACGGACTAAGTTTTCTTTTAGGGAAGAGAAGAAGAAATCTAGTCTAGTGAGCAGTGAGCATTCCTACGTTGACACACTGTGCTCAAATTTTGACATAGTTGTCAAATAATAGATGGCGAAATGAAAATGTGAAGATGGAATAGAATCGAACGGTCTAGTCCAATTTGTTCTTTCGATTTACCGTAATTTCACCAGCCTATAATATCTACATTAATTGAGGTCTTTAAGGAGTATACAAAACATATTCATTTAAACAAAACTTTATAGTAAGGTGAGCATAAATTGCCACAGTTTCAAAACAAAGCTAAGGCGGGGGCGTTGAGGGAAAAAAGTTGTACAAAAGAATGCCTCGACTCGTTATACAAGTGGAGGTGGCAAGCCTAACAAGAGCCAAAATCCGACACAGTCGTCTGAGTCAAGGTTGTTGTGAAACAAACCACCAGATTGAGATGTTGGAATTATATGGCAAATAATGAAGTATGTGTACACAAGCAAAAGAAAAAAAAGACAAGAATATGACAGATGAATTAAGGGATTTTATTGATTCAAAAATAATGGAGAAGAGAGAAATTTACAATGGATCCTATAATTCTAGTAATCTATTTTCTCACATCACAAAATTGTATAGAAGAGCCTAGTATTTATAGGGAACATGTAGGAGACGTCTAAACCCTCTTGGTAGAATTGTTGATGAAGTAGAATGTCAAAAAATCGAGTCCAAAACGAAATAAACAATCGAAAAAATAGAAAAGATGCTGTGGCGCCTAGGCGCTATACCCTAGGCGCCTAAGTGCCGGGGCTAGCGCCTGGGTGCTCAAGGGTTGGTGCTAGCCTTGTTGTTGAAAAACAGCAAGCTAGCGCCTAGGCGCTGGGTTACATCCCAAAAATTTCCAAAATACCTCCAATGATGTTCTTCTCCATTCCGAACTCTTATTCAAATCCAATACCAATTTCTAACTCCCAATGAGCATCCAAAATAGAACTTCAACTTGATATAGAACTCCAATAGTATTCTAAATTTGAATTTTTCATGACGTACACTTCAATTAGAATTCTTCAATACTTCAAACAATTCAACAAAGGAATTCGGGTCACACCCAAATTCCAACAAAGGTCATCTTGAATAACAAGAAAATGTAAGCCTCCATAGGTCTTCTTTGCTGCTTCCCAAGTTTTAGCTTCCTCGGTAGTTTCGGGTGTTTTCTTGTACATAGCATAAATGTAGCGTGTAGAGATCCCGATAGACAGAAACAAAGACGCATTGGCTACATCAGCTTCAATTGAACAAACTTCTAGACCGTTCATCCAAGCTGCAGCAATGCATAACAAGATGCTTTATAGAAATAGAGTAACATTGTTCAATGGAAGCAAAGAATATACAATAACTTGAGGTTTAAATGCTCGTACGAATTATTTTTGAATAGAAAAGAAAAATTACCTGCTAATGGTTTAGCTAGTGAAGTTGCAATGGCAAGTTAAGGAATCAATATCTTGTCATCAATTTCAATTCCCAGAAGATCCAAATCTAAAGTTGCACCAAATCTTGTGTCCAAACACGACAATTCCTCCCGAATAGCTGAGAAGAGAAAGGTAGATTATGATCGTGATGGTAAAATAACATTTCCTCACACAGTTGAGCTTTGGAAACTTTGACGCATGTAAGATGATAAAACATAGAATTTTATAATCACATTCAAGATAATGGAGAACTCTTGAAGTGCGTAAAAATCAATGGAGTTCATGTTCACTCCCAGCTGCAGCAGATCGAAAACCCAGGTTTCTTAAACTTGAGATGAACTATCAAGAAAATAAGATAGTTTTGCATCATGTAACTTAACTCAATTCTCATTTGCACATACCAGAAAATGGTAACTACACAAAAGCCCTTTTTCCTCCATAGAGAATATCCAGAAGTTCCATTAGGAAAGGATTATCGAGTGCTAGAAGTGGCGTATATCCCTTTTGGAAACCTGGATGGCACATGTATATAGTTTCGTAGCGTTCTTCAAGCCAAAGTAGTAGTGATAAGCACTGTGAGATATAACCAAAGACGTTAAAAATTGAACATAATAATAAGACAAGGCCATCTGTATGACACGAGGAATAAGAACACTTGCTTATTGCATTATGTTTGCTTAATGTTGGCATTCTTGTAACACCAAAGTATGCTTGATTATGCAATGTAAACAAAAAAAAATGATTACTCTGTGACAAGAACTTCAGTTTTTCATATAATAATGGATTTGCACCAATATAGAATTTATTTACACTACTTTGACTCTCCAATACATTCTTCACACTATCTGATGGGAGACAACTAAGAAGGTTTACAGTAAAACTAGCCATTAGAGAATATAATGACCTTATGAACATAGAGGGGCAACATATTCTTTGTTTATATTACAAAATACTAACTGAAATACAGAATGACATGTTTGGTAGGTGGATTGAATAGCAGTGGAAATGAAGGGAAAAAATAAGTTAAAATCTTGCTCCTTGTATTGCTAGTCCTATACAGAAGTGCGTATACGACATACTCGAATGGTTTGACAGGGGTTCACATCTTGCCCTCATATTGAATTCAATAGGATTAAAAAAGCAATTACTTTAAGAAATTAAATAATACATACCCTTTTGCTGGGTATGGATTTTATGCCAAGCTCTTTGCATACTCTTGTAATAATTGTCTGCATTTGTGACATACAAACATATCCCCCAAATAAATATACTTCCAATTTTCAGCTATATCAAAATATGACAACAAATCTGCAATAGACAAGAATCACAAAGTATACATGGAACATCAGAAATTGAAAAAATCACCCGAAGAAGCTTATTTTATCTGGTAAAGGTATATCCAGTTCATCACAAATGGAAACTATAGCATCCTTAAGAGTGACACTATTAATGACATTGTTAGGGAAATACTTGGTATACTGAAGCGAAAGCGAATCGTCGCAAACTACAAGCTCCCGTATCTTTTTCCCTGTGATATCAAGAATTGGCCTAGAGCAAAAATCCACTTGCCACTCATTGGAGCTCTGAGGATCAGCTTCTGGATCAAGATAGCTCAATTCTGCAATTGGATCATCATCTTCTTCATCAAAAATAGTTTCATCTAGTTCAGCTTCCATTGGGGATTAAGAAACTGAGCTTTCAGAGACTGAAAAACGTGCGAGAAAATGGGAATTTTTATTCTTGGGTTGCTGGGTTTCTTTGTGAAGAACTGAAATAGGTGCTTAAGTTGGATTTTTTTGGTTGGGGAAGTGACATTGTTAATAGGTTTTGATTCTTGTGGTGTTGAAGCTTAGACTAGCCATGCGAAGAGTGGTGGCGATACGAAAGTAATCAAGAAAACGTCTTTGGGTTTTCTTATGGAGCTGTTAAAGTAGTTATCCACCACATGAATAGGAATGTATAGTTTTTTTTTTTTTAAATGAAATGGAAGGTTCATTCATCATAACGAAGTTACAAATATGACTTATCAATACAGGAAAACCAGACTATAAGCCAACCTAGGCAATCAGCTCTGGAGCACCCCCGCACACAAAGTGGCGGACATTGTCTTAACTTCTAAATCTCTCCGAAGAGAGAGAGAGCACTCTAAACAAATAGAGTCATGTGGTTGCTATGGACTCTAAGTCCAAAAGCCAATTACAACACAAATACAAACAAAATAACAAAATCTACAACACAAAACAACAACAAAACAGAAGGACCACAAGCACGGGCAAAAAGCCCCGACGGAACACCCATTGCAGGCATCAGCAACGCGAACCCAGACGACACGAGTACCCAGCTCACGTACAGAACACCACAACCTCCACAGCGGAGTCCAGCCGTACGGCCCCTGGCCTATACTTCGTCCGCCACTCTCAACCTGCACTTTCCCCAGAGTGCGATTGATCAAAAGTCTCTTCACCTTACTCAGGTCAAAACAAAGGTCTGAAAAGAACAAACCAAACACATCTCCGGAGCGACAAAACATAAAACGAAGTGGCTGAGGCGCTTGGAAAAACAAAGACCACATAGGAGGAAAGCCGGCGGTCAGTCGTTGGCTGTGGACAATGAGATAGAATTTTGTTTCTTACTCATCCAAACCACAAGGTTAGAACTAATATAAAAACAACCACTCGAAGTACTCTTTCTATCATTGGCATTATCAGCCCAATCAACGTCAGAATATCCAGCAAGATCAAGAGTAGAATCCCTAGAGTATAAAATGCCATAATTAACTGTACCATTAACATATCTAATAATACGTCGCCGACACTTTTGTGACTCTTTAGGATCAGCCTGAAAACTCACATGGACCCCTACACTGAATGCAATGTCAGGTCTACTAGCAGTAAGATAAAACAAACTACTTATCATGCTCCTATATAGTGTTTGATCAACACTCTAACCTGTAGGATCTAGACCTAACTTGATACTGGTGCTCATAGGGGTCCTAGTGTGTTTCTTACTGTCCAGTCCAAATCGCTTGATAAGATTCTTAGCATATTTCGATACATCATCAGTTTGCTTGACTTGAAGACCAAGAAAATATGTTAATTCACCAATCATGCTCATCTCAAATTCTTGCTTCATACACTCTGCAAACTCATGAGCCAGGGACTCAATAGGGGAGCCAAATACGATGTCATCCATATAGATCTGAGCTATGGTAATGGTATCCTCAAAATCTCTTATGAACAGGGTTTTGTCTGCACCACCTTTCATGAAGCCATGTTCCAAGAGGTATGTAGTAAACCGATCATACCAAGCTCTAGGAGCTTGTTTCAGCCTGTACAAGGCTTTATTTAGCCTATACACATAGTTCGGATATTTAGGATCAACAAATCCTTTAGGTTGTTCCACATAAGCTTCTTTCTGAAGAACACTATTCAGAATCGTACTCTTGATATCCATTTGGTATAATTTGAAACCTAAGGTACAAGCAATCGCCAGAAGAATTCTAATAGATTCAAGCCTAGTTACAGGAAAAAATGTCTCATCAAAATCAACACTTTCAACCTGAGTGTACCCCTATCTCTCATCAAAATCAACACCTTTAACTTGACTGTACCCCAGGACAACCAACCTAGCCTTATTTCTTGTAATGGGACCTGATCATCAGTTTTATTTTTAAATATCCACTTGGTACCGATAACATTTCCATCATCAGGCCTAGGAACTAAATCCCAAACTTTGTTCCTAACAAACTGATTCAATTCATCATGCATCGCATTGATCTAGCATTTATCCTTAAGGGCTTCCTCAACCTTCTTCGGTTCAATTTGAGACACATAGCTTGTATAAGACAGCTTGTTCAAAACCCTTTTGCGAAGTCCCATACCTTCTTCGATATCTCCAATCACATTGTCCTTAGGATGATTCAATTTCACTCTAGACGTAGACTCTTTGGGTGGTTTAGCTTCATTATCGGATGTAGTATCCTTAGTAGAAACTACCGACTCATTAGATGTCCGTAGGGGATCGGGAATAAAGCTTCCTTAGGTTTAGTTACTCCAGCTAGTTTAACATTCAAATAATCCAGCTCAACATACTCTTCATCAATCTACTCCTCACAACAAGCATCATCAACCACCACTTTGATAGATCCTATCACCACCCCTGTATGATAGTTGTACACCCGATACGCTCGACTATTCTTAGAATACCCTCAGAATATACCTTCGTCACTCTTGGAATCAAACTTTCCCAAATTCTCGCTATCTCTCATAATGTAGCACTTGCTACCAACCACACGAAGGTACTAAATAGTAGGTGCTTGCCTGTCCAGATCTCACAGGGTGTCATGTCAGTCTTAGGTCTGAAATAAACCCTATTGATAATGTGACATGCAGTATTGGCGGCTTCTTCCTATAAATGCATAGCTAGATCTTTACCATGAAGCATAGTTCTTGCCATTTCTTGAAGTACACGATTTTTCTTCTCAACTACACCATTCTGTTGTGGAGTGATCGACGAGTAGAACTCATGCTGGATACCTTCTTCCAGACAAAAGTTCTTAAAATTCGAGTTTTCGAACTCTTTACCATGATCACTGCGAATTCTGGAAACTGAGTAACTCTTCTCATTCCTAAGTCTCTTACACAACGAGATGACAAGACTGAACACTTTAGTTTTATCTCTCAGCAATTCAATCTACGTGAAACGAGAAAAGTCATCTACAGCAACCAAGATATATCTTTTACCACCAAGACTTTCGGTGCTCTATGGTCCCATAAGATCCATATGTAGTAATTAAAGAGGCTTGCTCGTCAAGATCTTACAAGTCTATTTGTGGGGTACCCTAAGCTGTTTACCTTGTTGACACGGACCACACAAAGTGGTATCAGTAGCATTCAGCTTATGCAGGCCATTGACAATCTCCTTCTTGGCCAGTTTAGACAGACTGGTATGATTCATATGACCCGATCGTTGATACCACAACTCAGTGGCGTCAACCTTGACACTATTATACAAATAGTTTGAATTCGGTAAGACTCCGTAACAATTTTCAGTCGTTCTTACACCTTCAAGAACAATA